ATATTATGTATTCGATTTATTTTATAATATATTTGAGCTAAATTTTAATGTATTTTAGCTATATATTATGTATTCGAGTTACATATTATGTATCCGAGCTAGCTTTTAATGAATTTGATTTATGTTATAATGTATTCGAGATTCTCTTTATTGTATTCGAGCTTATTGTAATTTACAAACTAAAGAAGAATGGATTGTAATTTCATATTAAAACTATGTAATTCGTAAAATTTATCCAATATAAGTGTTTTTAAAGAGTAACGGAAGTTAAAAAAAAGAAAATAGTTTTTCGCAGAAAGTACTTTTGAGAAAGCTGAAGGGTCAAATCGTAGTTTTCTTATATTTTAGTGTTAAAAGCGCGAAAAGATTGCTGGAGAAGGAAGAGTTAAAGAGGCGGGAACCCGATATAGTGACACAAAGTGACGGAGAGATGTACGGCGGGAACAACCAATTCGACGGCAACGCGGCGTTTTCCGGCGGAGGTTTCATGCCGTCGCAGGCTACTCAAACCGCCGGTGATCATTCTTTCTCTCCGGCCAAGGTGTATTTTACTTCCTTAGCATATAAAATGTGAACAAGGCTTTAGTTTCTCGTTATGCTATTATTCTCCATAAATATCTATTGCTCCCTGCTGGAACTGATAGGAACAAAGAAGATGAGAACTCTGAACAGAAAACTAGAAGTTATCAAGCAAAGTTTTTGCTTTCGGATTTTAGGTTTTTTAGCCCTTTTTCTGAGAAGTATTTGAATTTTACTTCTTAACATTTTTATTAAAATTTTTCTTTTTTTTTCTCTATTGGTAGAATCGTGATTCACAGACTTTGATTCCATTAACCGTCAAGCAAATTAGTGAAGCCTTTCAATCAAGTGATGATAAGACAAATTTTCTCGTTGACGGAGTTGATGTGAATAATGTTAGTCTTTTATACTCGTGGTTCCTGCTGTTTTATTGGGAGTTTATGCTCTATAAGATATGTATGATTTAGAATTTGACATGCTTGTAGGTAAAACTGGTGGGTATTTTATGCAACAAAGTGGAAAGGGTTACAGATGTATCATTTGGGGTGGATGATGGAACAGGGCGCCTCGACTGTTTTCGATGGTAATAGTCAGTTTCGTTTTTCCCGCATTTTTGTTTTACTTATGTGAAACACTAAACCACAGTCTACTATGTTCGACATAGTTGACTTTGTGTTTCTAAAATTTAATTGTAAATTTGGTTGATGCATACTATGCAGGGTAAATGAAGCTGTTGATACCAAGGAAATGGAAGCAGTCACGTAATTCTTCTTCTCAATACTGTTATTTTTTCACTTAAAATATTTTAATATCATGTTCTATTATATTTTTTGGGTTCTTTGTTAAATAGAAATGGTATGTATGTTCGAGTCCATGGACACTTGAAAGGCTTTCACGGTAAAAAGCAGTTGATGGCTTACTCAGTCAGGTATTTCAGTATGGGTTTCTGAATTGCTCATTTTGTTTCCCTTCAGTATATTAATGTTGGTCAGCATATGCACAAGTTATTACTCTTCTCTGGTTGTTTGAGGTGGTTGCCTCTGGCTTGTGAAAAGCTATTCTGTGGGGCTTTAGGTTTTCTCAAAGAAAAATCATGCACAAGTTATTACTCTTTCTCCGGTTATTTGAGGTGGTTGCCTCTGGCTTGCGAAAAGCTATTCTGTGGGGCTTTAGGTTTTCTCAAAGAAAAGATTTTTAATACGTGGTTTGTAATCTATCCAGCATTCGTGTATGCAATGCATTGCACAACATTGTTTCAGCACAAAGTTACTAACTTATCTTTACTTGAGGCACTGCAAAAAGATGAAATTTATATTAATGTTGATTTTTAGTATTTTCAAGGTCCTCATTGGTCTTAGTAAGTTACTTTCCCTTTTTCCCCTAGTTAATCCCCGCATGGCTTTATTAGTTGATTTTCTTTGTAATGTATCTACTATCTAGGACCTCTGTCCTTTTCAAGTGTTGACTATACATGTATATTTCTGTTTTTATAATTGCTTAATTAGCATAAACCTTTTTTACTTTTCTTTTTGGGGAGGTAAGGTTTTTGAGGAAGTTCATCAGGTAGAAGGTGGAGGCCTGGAGGGAGTGTGTACAACTAGTATTTTCTCAGAAGCACGTGTTTGTCAAAATGAGGCAATTATATCTGTTCCATGCCTATGAACAGGCACAAGGAGAACAATTGAGCAAACTGGTGTGTAAAATTTTTACAAATGGGCAATTTTGCATTGTTTGATAAATCCCTTAGTTGTGTTGAATCAATAACTGGGTAAACCAAATTTGTCGACTATATTGCCATGTATAATTGGTGATTATTATTTTCATTAACCATGTTTAAAAAATTTGTTCTTAAACCAATGAACATCCGGGAAACTGCCTGCAACTTGACATGGAAAGATGGTTTGCAAGAAAAAGATTCTGGTATATGAAAAAGCATCTTTAACAGAACAGCACACCTATCCTTTTATAATATTGTATGAATGGCGAGGGCAGGAAACATGGAAAACTTTCGCGTGAGTTGTTATTTCTATCATCCTATGTCTCTGAGCATGTGAAATTATTCTGGGTATGTTGTTGTACTATGGCTCTGGGGAGGTTAGAGGAGGCAGGATGCCCCCCCGCCCCTGTTACCTTTGTATCGGCTTTAACGAGTTGGTGGTAAAGATCCTAATTTCTTATATGTGTGGTTTTTAGGCCCGTGGATGACTACAATGAGATTGCATACCACTTTGCTCAAGTCATTTATGTTCATAGCTACAACAGTAGTCTACGGGTATTTAACAAACTGCCTTGCATACGTTGAGCTAAACAATATGCTGTACATAAGATTCTGATTGAAGTTGCATTTCCTTTGCCACTCCAGAAGCAACATGATAGTTCCTCTATGCCATCTCAAGTGCCTAGCTCATCTTTCAACACTCCTCTAAAGGGATACCAAGCTTCAGCGTCAAATCAAGTATTTCAAATTACATTTTTCTTCCTTTTAATTTGTGTAGTTAATTTTATATGCATTTTCAGACATCACATTTCCTATGTAGTCAATAATTTTATCTTTATCTTTCATGTTTCAGTTTCCCGGATACAGCATGGATGGGATCAGAGGTGTAGATAAGATGGTCTTGGACTACTTGCAACAACCGTCATGCCTGTAAGTCATTTGAATCTCCAGCACTTTCGCTCACTGGGCAGTGCTTGCAGTTCTAGTGCAAATACTAATAAAATCAGATCTGTATAAATGAACACTTTTTATTACATGTCGAAGTGCCTTTTTAATGGCTGCTGATTTTGTCTGATAATCTTGTTCTGTCACATGACATTGAAATAAAATTATAAGAGTGTTATTCCTTGGTATAACTCGAATTTCAAATCATTCACTTGCTTTAGTCCAATTTGGGTACTTCTCCTTTATCCCTTGTCTTGCTTTTGCGCTCAGTCAGCACCTAAGGTGGGTTCAATGCCTCTTAAAATATCTTAAGGAAAAGAAAGGGATGTATGGATAATAGAACAGATAAGTGATAACAGTCTAAAAGAGTCTGTTCTCGCCTATCCGTAGGTAGTGGGTCATGACGCCTTTTTTCGCATGTCTAATCCACTTTGAATCTGCCCCCAAGGCCTAGCTCGAGTGGCAAAAAGTGGAGGATCTGTGGCTTAGATCGGAGGTTCAAACCCCACACCATGCAAAGTGAAGCCCGATATTTAAGTGGAGAAGGGCAGACCCATTATTCAACGAGTTTAGAAGGCTGTGGTCCAAAGGGCGGGTCACATACAGATTTTTCGGTTATCAAAAAAAAAAAAACACTTAGAATTTGAATATCCTTTGCGCCTTATCTCCTCATCTTCCTGTTTATAAAACAGAGCTTCTTCAATCTATGTAACAACAAGAACTTTGAGAGGATTGCCTTTGAAGAAAGGAGCGACTTCTTGTGGTAGATATTGCGAACATCTTCAAATTAGATTTTTCGGAAACCAAACAAATTCGTTTTCAAGTATTGAAAACTGTCCCCCAACTGACTTAATTTTTCTTGTTTTTTCATAATCTTTTTTATCTATATTGCTTGGATCTTAAAGTTTACTGCTGGATCCTCCAAAACCTATCCGACAGGGGTGTGACAACATTTTTGGGGGAGTTCAAGCAACATAGTATTGAAAATGTATTTTATTTGCTTGTAATTGATAGAGAATATGAATTCCACGTTCCTTGAACGATTTTGATGTTCTCTTATCATTTCTATTTCAGTGCACTTGAAAAAGGGGTTCATCGCAATCAGCTAGTCCAACAGCTACAACTCCCTTCAGAGAAGATCTCGTACCTCTCTCTCCCTTCTCGTTCTCTTTCATGATTAATAACAGTAGATCATTTCTGCTCTTGTTTATTGCCTTATTCCTTATTGTTTCTGTATGACAGAGAAGCTCTTGAGTCTCTCGAATCAGAAGGTCTAATTTACACCACAATAGACGAGTTTCACTACAAGTCTACTGGAAACGGTTGATGTTGGAGATGAAATTGATAAGCAACTTTATAAGATATGTCCTTTTCCCTGTAATTATGTGCTGTTTTTGTTGGATATATTGTTGTTTCTTCCCTCAAAGAGTCTTTTGTGCTCTATGTTTGTTAGCTTTTGACTATTGCAACTTTTATCTCATCTTTTAGAATTTTAGCCATGAAACAGTATCGCCTTGTCTTTTGGGAACATGAAGTCTAAAGATTCACCATACAACAACCCACACCCAGTAGTGTCTGAGAAGGGTGATTTGTACGCAGTCTTTATCGTTACTTTGTGAAAATAGAGAGGTGGTTTTTAATGGACTTTCTGCAAAGATTCAACAATGAGGTTTACTAATAGATCAAAACCTTGCTATACTAAACAAACCTAATTTTACCTAATGTGATAAATTAGTAATTAAAATCTTGGTTTATACTATGATCATGAATATAACAAGGGACCAACCTCGACTTGCTAGGTGGTCCCTTCCTCACTGAAAGATTCTGGTTTTAATTCATTTGGGTCGGGAAGATACTGATTTATAGTCATCACATTCAGAATCGCTAAAATGTTTAGCAGTATTCAAGTAAAAAGCTTGATTTACTGATTAGTCAAGTCAGTATTTAGTATATACTATTTGTCTATTATATATGGTTTAAAATTTAACATATGATATATTTATAAGACTATCACAAATAGAACTTTTCGAAGATGTTTTTTGATAGATTTTCTTTCATACTTTTGATAATATTTTGATGGAAACGTTCAATTTTTTTTAAAATATATTTTTCTATAAGCAAACTTCATTTATTATGGTTCCAGATTTGCACATGTCTATATATTTTTTTCTTCCTTTCCCCTTTGAAAGAGGTTTTAATAATGTCTTTTTAACATAACATGTACATAAATACAGGTAAGTTCATTGTTGGCTTGTCCTTTTTGATAAAGTTGGTTTATTAAAAGTTCTTTATCATATATCCACACAAGTCCAATGATAGGTGCTCTCTAGCATTCCCTTTCTTTTTTTTTAAATTCGATGTTTAATATTCATCTTAAAATTTCATTAAATGTGAATTTGCAGGTTGCAGTACTTCTATTTTGGTGTATCGATTTTGGTAAACAGAAAAATTCATTTTTAAAAGCTTAAATCTGAAATATTTAAATTATAAATAAAAGAAATTTTGAAAATATTCTCATGTGTACTTTAATGAAAAAGTTAAATCTTTGGAAGATTTGCAACAAAAAAGAATCATATAAGTAACTTCTATGTGGCACTAATGAGTATTTTCCACATGTAGCTATCTTATGGCTTCCAATAAATCTTCAATATATCATCCACCAAAAAAAATTATTGCAAAGTTTTATTCATTCTACAGTAATGCGTTGAGTTTGTAATAATTTTTGGAAATCTTAATATATATCCAATGTGTATATTTATTTACCAAAAAAGGTATCCAAGTAAAGTTACCTAATAAGGGTTAGGTCATTTTCATGTAGTTGATTAATATACCATTTAAGAATTGTTAGAATAGGTTTTTATTAATTTATTTATACATCATCAAAATTAAGTTCATTAAAGAATGATAAAAAAAAATTGTAACATTACTAATGTTGGTAGTAAATGATGCATTTGGCAAAGTATGATCAGTTCCATTTAAGACATCTTTTTGCCATTTTTTGCAATAATTATCTAAAGCTATGAACCATTTTTGAAGTTCTTTGAAGCTTCTCCTCTTCTTCTTCCTCCTTTTTTTGGGTAAAGAATATTATATAATTTATTTTTGTGATTTTAAAAACTTCTAGTAATGATCAAAAGAATTTGGACTTTTTCTTGCCATACAAGTCATGATTTTAACCTAAATAAAAGTGTACTAGGATTTATAAGTGTTCAACAACAAAAAACAAAGAGAAAAACCGTCAAAGACTTATGATCAACAAGGTGAACCAAAAATTGTGAAGTTTTAAGTTCAAATTTCAGCAAAGATAAAAATACAGTAGATGATTACTTTTGATATATAATTCTTATTGTTGGTGGAAAATATATAACAAATATTATGTAAAATTAATCGAAATATGCATTAGCTAGTCTGAATATCACGATTATGAGGGAAAAAGAGGAAAAGAAAAACATAACAATGTTTTTTTCCGATGCATATGCTCATACATATATCTACTGATTAATCTAATCTAAGTTCTTACTTTATAGGATTCATTTGAAGGAAAAAAAACACTTTTTATTATGATTTTTTTTTAAAAAAAAAATAATTAAAATTTTATATTAAAGACGAAAATATTTTATTCATGGTACCACATTCGATATTATCAATAGTGGTCATCTAGAGATACTAAATACTTCACCAACCAATTGTAATAGTGGGAGCCAATTGTATAGATTTATGCCAAGTGTGGAAACCAAAAAAGAACCACCTCAATTATCAATTATCCAAAAAGCCCTAGTCATTCCCCACCCACAACATTACATTTGGCATATATAAACACTAAGATTCATTAAAGGGGAATTCAAATATTTTTTTTATTTTTAAAACTCGAACTCAAAACACATAATTAACTCAAATACTTATACTACAAGATTATAGTTAACATTAGGTATCAAACAATGTATATCATAAAGTTAAGAATACAAAATGTATATGAAATAGATTAATCGTACCCTTCTTAACGTTATATTTTTATCTCAAAAATACCTTTATACGCCCTTCAACTAATTAATCGAATAGCTAAAGTCATAAAATTTGAATCAAAATTATTAAATTATAATTGTACAAATGACATTACCCAAATAACATAAAACTATAGGTACACCTAATCACATAGGTATTCTAAAAAGCTTATGAACAACATGATCAAAGTGCACATACATACAATTGATGACACTTGGCTAGGGACCAATTGGACAAGATTTATTAGGAAAAAAAATATAAACATTTTCCCTGCCCCCCCCCCCCCCCCTTATGATATAGTCTTTAATTAGGCTATATTTCATAGGATACTTCTATCTATTTGACATTTCTTTCCTCTCTTTGTGAGTATGTCACTCTTCTCTTTTTCAGCTAATTAACTTCTTGGTTTTTAATTTTTAAAAATAAAATAAATATATCCTTCAAGATTTTATGTATAGTGTAATTTTCGATTTGTATGTATACACAATTCAATTTTATATATACATAATATGATTTAATATTCAACTGATTACCACTCGTTATTCTATGTTGTTTAACCACTGTTTAAGAAGTTCAATTTTTTTTATTTATTTTTTTTGTATAATTTGGTTGGTGAAATTGAAGTATGAAAAATTGTTGCCTTATTTAATTTGATGTCCAATTATTGTTTGTTGTTGGATTTCAGGAATTTATTTTAGAGTAATATTATCTATGGAGCAGCCTATGTCTTTTGGTAATATTCTCTTTATCTTTTTTTAAGTAAATTTAGGTTATTTATAGGGAACAATTCTGAGTTATAGTACATGTTGGAATTAAATAATAAAGGATATAATATAAATATGTGTTTTGATTGTAATTAAATAAATTACGATAAACTTTCTATTTCTAATTTTAAATCTTGCTTCACCATGGGTTTAAGCACATATTGTTTCTGAGAGATTATCGACTCACTATTTTACCAGTTTCACCTTTCCTTCGTATGTTTTTACTAAGGATACCTTATATATTGATTTATAATAAAGAAAATTGGAGTTATATATGCTTTTGTATGGAACTTCCATTAAACTCTTATTAATATCTATGCAGACTCTCAATCATATAATATGGACTATCAAGGCCACTTTGATCTAGGTTTATTTGGTCAACCTCTGGTAAAGTTTTCTAGATTAAAATTATATATATCGTCGATATAAAAGCTTTATCATACCATCACACCTGAAGTATCAGAATTACGAATTATTCTCTGCTTGAACTATCATCAATTATTCATCAAATTGCACAAAGTACGATACTCATAATGGACTTTGTGCTCTCAAAAATTTTGAAGGGCCGGATTATGCTACCATTGAACTTCACCTCTCATGATGAAACCCCAATATTCGTCAATGCCAAGCAATATCATGGGATACTTAGGCGTAGAAAATTCCGCACAAAGGAAATAGAGAAGAACTTACTTAAACCGCGCAAGGTAAAATTCTTCTTTTGACTAAATAGTTACATATGACTTTGACTCATGCACTATACTATGATAACAACTGGCGTTTTTATGTTAGCAAAATGATAAAGCTTAGAGCACTCTCTAGAGAAATGAATGATAGTTAATTGAGACGAAGAGATTACTTCCAGCTAGCTTTATATTTTCTCGTACCTAAATTTCTTTTTCATGTTCGCTCACTATGGTTGCTTAATTTTGTATTGGTTTAATGTATACAGCCATTCTTGCACCTCTCGCGCCATCTCCATGCCAAGCGTAGACCTAGAGGAGGTGGAGGGCGCTTCTTGAACACGAGGAAGACGGATGGAAGTATCAACAATGATGCAAACGGTACAACCAAGACTAGCAACAAGAAATGTCATCACACTAGATCACAAAATTCTGAAGTTTTGCAGTGGTGTATTCAATTTTAACTCAACAAAGGATACAACTAACACTATTTCCTCTATTGATGCGTTTCTTGATATAACGAATACTGGCCATGACATTCTCATGGCCGGTAAGTGGGGTTCTGCAGCAGCAGTTGATAACTGCTGCTGCAACAACCTCAGAATTTGATGACGTTTTTACCCTTACGACAACCAAATTGAGGGCTATGGACTCTGTTCCTACCGCGATTTGGTTGCTAGAATAGGCAGATCATCCTTGGCTATACTCATTAAGGTTGCTTATCATATATCATTCCATGTAGCTATCCAGGTAGCTACATGGATGTTACGGAGTGCTAAAACCTTAATGCACTTCTTTTTTAAAAGTAGGACGTATATCCTAAATCGAAAGAAGTTTATGAAGGTTCAAAATTATCGAGTTTGTGATGTTGTGTATATGTTGTTTGTAAAAATTGAGTTGAAGTATGATTTAGTATTTGGTGTGTTTGAGACTGGACTTGTACTATGGTATCAGAGTAAGACTAATCTCAATCCATTGTTTCTGATGTTGAATCGTGTGACGTGTCTTATATTGTTTAAGCTTCAGATGTTCAGTCCATTTAAAATTAGTATTAGTTTTTCATCTTTATTTGTTACTTATGACAAATTAATAGTGTTATAATTTCTCCATGATTAGTATGTAAGCCAAAACAGCCATTCAGATGAGACCATTCTCTTTGGTACTCAAAATTCTCTGAAGACACAGTCAATCTTAACCATACTTTTTGAGTTTTGACCCTTCCCTTCTTTTTTTTGGTTTCATTTCGATATTTGGTATTCGCTTTAAGGTCATATTACTTTGAAATAGTGTCGGAAAGTTCAATTTAGAAGGTAGAGTGATTCCGATCAAAGCTCACTACATATTCAAAATTTGAACCTGAGACATGGGGTTAAGGAGGGAAGAATATTTACAATCCTATCATAACCTTTAATCCATTAGTCCTTATATATTAAGAGTTTTTGTTTGTTAGACTTGAACTCGAAATATTTAGTTAAAGACGAAGGAATACTCAGCATCATACCATAACATTTAGTTTCTATATTTATTTATTTTGTTAGAGTTGAACTCGAGATATTTAATTAAAGATAAAGGAATATTCACCATCCTATCATAACCTTTAGTCTCTATATATTACGTAACTTTCTTTGGTTAGACTTGAGCCAGTGATGTTTAGTTAAAGATGGAGAAGTACACACACAATCTCTATATTTGTTTATTTGATTTCTCACTTGGTATTACGTATCCATTTTTTAGCTCAACTAATTTAGATTCACATCGATAAAGCACCAATGAACTTCAAACCAAAGACAACTCTATATTCAGCTCTCGAATCTTAGAATCAATGATTTACCATCATGCCAAAGTTATATCATACACCAAAATCCCAATTTTATCTTTTAACTAAATCCTCACCATGCAAGCGCCATGTGCGATCATGACTCCGACCCGAACCATCCTAGCCCCTGGTAGGCCTTGTCATAAGAAGGATGTTCACACTACTCAACATTAAATACGTAATAAACATCTAGTTAAGAATGAAGGAGTATTCACCATCCTATCACAAACTCGAAAGTCACTATCTAGTTTAATATAGATTGAATAGTGAAGACTATAATACATTAATATCAATTGACTTTTTAAACTCATATTTTTTTTTCCTTCCAACTTGTCACCATAGTTGTTGAAGTAGACAACCATTTTGACAAGTCTTCTCTCCAGCCTGCCATTCAAGAACTAGTTAATTTCAAGTTTCAACCCCCTACCCCTACCCCCCACCCCCCACCCACCCCACTTCACCCCCTTCAAAACCCCATCTCAACCAAAATTTCCAATCAAAATCTTCAAATTTCACAATGAATGATCTATTCTCAGGATCATTTTCTCGTTTCAGAAATGAAGAACAATCCCCAAATCAAGAATCTGCTGGAATACAAATGAGACAACAAACAGGAGGTGTAAATCTTGACAAATTCTTCGAAGATGTAGAAACCATTAAAGACGAGCTTAAAGAACTCGAAAAGATTCATACCCAACTCCACAATTCACATGAACAGAGCAAGACTCTGCATAATGCTAAAAATGTCAAAGATCTCAGAAAAAAGATGGATAATGATGTTTCGTTAGCTTTGAAAAAGGCGAAGTTCATCAAAGTTCGTTTAGAAGCATTAGATCGATCGAATGCTGCTAATCGAAGTGTACCTGGTTGTGGACCTGGAAGTTCATCTGATAGAACAAGAACCTCTGTTGTTAATGGATTGAGGAAAAAACTTCAGGAATCTATGAATCAGTTCAATGAATTAAGGCAAAGAATGGCATCTGAGTATAGAGAAACTGTTCAAAGAAGGTATTGTTGAATAAAGTTTAAATCTTTGCATCTCATGTTTTTGTTACTATATGTTATTTTCTCGAGAAATGTTACTAGCTCAGTTGGTTGTTTGCCTGAACTTACATTTTGTTCTTTGTTTGGACTGCTTTGGACTGTTTTCTTTTGTGAGTCGAGGGTCTGTTGAAAACTGTAAGGTTTGCGTACATTCTAGCTTTCTAGATCTCACTTTGTGAAATTACACCGAGCATCTTTGCCTTTTGTTTGACTTTTGATTCATTCGTGTTCCTGCCGATAGTAAATTGTTATGTCTTTGTTTCTTATGGATTCATGGAGCTCCGGGTGAAACGAGTAGGTCTAGTTCTTCGAGACAAAGGCCCTCAACTTTAGACTATGGTGTAAAATTACCTTCACGATCCAAGCTCCATTATGTATCAAGGGTAAATATGAGATTTTTCTAATGACATTTGAACTCCGGACCTTTAACTATTCTGTTTAGGTTGAAGTATGTGGTTATCTCATTTGAAGATACATTTTTTATCCTCTCATGTGGTCATGTATCATGTGGATGAGACTCGAAATCATAGTCTAAGAGTTAAACTCAACAGGTACTTCACGGTGACAGGAGAAAATCCAGATGAAGGTACACTAGATACTCTAATATCGACTGGCCAAAGTGAGACATTTTTGCAGAAAGCAATACAGGAGCAAGGAAGAGGACAAGTAATGGACACAGTTATGGAGATTCAAGAGAGGCATGAAGCTGTGAAGGAATTAGAGAGAAATCTGAAAGAATTGCATCAAGTTTTCATGGACATGGCTGTTTTAGTTGAAAGTCAAGGAGCACAGCTAGATGACATTGAAAGTCAAGTTAATAGAGCCAATTCATTTGTCAGAGGTGGTGCTCAGCAGCTTGAGGTAGCAAGAAAACACCAGAAAAGTTCAAGAAAATGGACTTGTATTGCCATTATTATTTTGCTCATTATTGTCTTGGTGGTGGTTCTTTCTATTCAACCATGGAAGAAATGAGAATCACTCAAACGTGGGGTTCGAACCATGGAATTAGTCACTAATACTTGCACGTCAAGATAACATCCCCTTAGGGTGTCCTGCATCAACACGAGATGCTTTGTGCATCAGAGTATCTTTCTCTCTTTTTTCATTTCTCTATTGTTTGGAGTTCTCTTTGTAATTAACTTATTGCTCAAGTAGAAATGGAGCTGAAGGAGACTGTTTTGTGCTATTTGCCTTGTTTATACACATTTGGGTTTAAATCTAATCTTTTATTGGTGAAAACTTTTGTTCCTCTTTGAGAAACTTTTCTGAATTTATAAATGCATGTTGCATGACACTAAGAAGATTTAAACCTGCAATTTCAGTACTGAACTTCAAAGAACATGTCATATTATAATTGTAAAAGTTTACTATAACCTTGAGAAAAGTTTGATAACAGAACAATTAAAAACAAGACATTCAGCATAATTAGACAGCACACATGAGTTGTCTTCTTATATTTGTAGTGTTACCAGCATAGCATTATAAGATTAATCCAGGGCCCTTCCGACGTCTCCTGTCCAGTCTGGTTTCACCAGTCAAAACCTTATCGAGGTCAGAATATTCCATGAACATCTGTGTAGCAGCTTCTCATGAAAGCTTGTATCGTTCCTCGTGAGTGAGAGTTTGAGGCTACCAGACATGATCTCTTCAAATTTAGCTACAAAGTCTTCAGGCATCGTGTAAGTCTAGCAGGTTTGGGTATACCTGGAAAAATTCATCCGACAGTGGTCCAAATTTCCCCATTTGCAAGAGCTCAGCCATGGTAGTGCAAAGCGCAGCACTGCAAGCAAAACTATGTTAAAAGCTGAACAGTAAAGAAACTAACAGAGAACAAGGAAATGGGGAAAAAAATAACTAGCATCAAATAAAAGGCAGCAAAGGGTCTGCATTCAACATCGTTGTTCAAGCTTAAGATTTAGCAATTGGAAGTACCACGTCGATGAAAAATCCCAAGAAAAAAAATTGTATTCAGTATTTGCAGATATCGAGGAGAAATAGTTTAACACTTTATACAAGTAAAGTAGATTCCACCCTTTAAATGAATAAGAACATTTGTACCCAAGATTGAAAACTCCGGGGCGAGTATATATGTCTCATACTCTACATCACAGAAATCAGGTAAGACTTAAGAGTGTGATCAATTTAGTTTTCAGGTTAACATGGCACACATCAAATGAATAATCTTTACCATCTTAGTCATTTATGCATTAACAGTAATTCTAAAATTATTTTGCCACAGGGAACAGAATGTTATCCCTAATGATGTTTTATAGATCATTGGACAAAAACGGAAAAAGTACGCACTAAATAATGCCCTATTGTGTGTAACAACCTCTACATTCTTCATTAGTAACAAGTTCTATATAAGGATTCTTACCTATGAAGAGAGTCATGGATCGTCTCTACTTTCATGATGCTGACATCATGATTTAACCTATTTGCTGTATTCGGTACCTCATGAGCATCTTTCTCATTGCCATATACCTCCAAACTAAAGCCATTAAGGTCATTCTTGTGCTTTGCTTAACAGATCTATCAACTTCCAATATCCCTTCGCCCAGACCATTTTGCCTAAGAAAGATGCTCATTTAGAGAAAACTAGCTGGTCGCTTTGTCTATCTGCTGCCGCTTTTTCTCCTTTTTCAGAAACTTTGGACTGACACAGTGTATATTGCAGACCAAAGACTTGGGTAAATCCTGTATAGCTAAACAGCAATATTGACATCTCAATTAAGACAAAAATGAAATAACAGGTAGGGTGTTTGAATATTAATAAAAGGATGTGGCAGTGAAGGATGTGGCAGTGTTCAGGGAAGCGTGAAGCAGAAAAAAGCGTTGAGGCCCCACTTCATGCTTTAAGCGATGAAGCGCTCACATACTCATTCTAGTCTGTGAAGCGTAGAAGGCTCGCTTCGCTTTCCTAAACACTGGGACGTGGTGCTCTAAAATGCAGTTAAGGCGTCTTCCAATGCTTAATGCATGTGACCACAGTTTCCTTCTTTCTTCTTCTATGGAGTAGACTAAACATACCTTGTTTTGGTATGCTCTCGTTACCCAATTGTTAGTGTGTTTCACAAAAAAAGTTGAAGAGCCCCATTCATTTCCCTCTTGATATATTCCAAATAATTTGTGTGGACAACACCAACAAGATGATTTAAATTTATCACTCCAACATTAGCCTGGGTGGTACACTGAGATGTTCTGGCTCCTCTAAAACTTTGCAACATCGGCATCCCTTGACGGGATAAACTGAGAAGTGTCTCTAGATGGTGTTATACGCCGCCTTTCTTTGGAGAACTGCAAGGGAAAAAATATTTGTCAATAATCACATCCATCTCAACATCTTCGCCTGTCATATTATAATTTATTTAGCTGTTAATCAGGGACTACCTTTCCAGGGTAAAATGAAATCCTGAAGTCAGCCTTGAAACCAATTCGCTCCTCGAGCCAATTGCATATATAGAGGTCCTGATCTTCAGGAGAACTTAATGAAAGATGGTTTGGAAAAATTAGCTCTTGGTCAGATTTACATAGCCATGGAACCAGCAACATAGCATTCTGCTTTTCTGATCTGGCTAAGTGAGCTGCTCGGAATAGAATATCTACAGCAGTTCCTGTTATCGAAGGAAGGCTAGCCGTTGTGACTACATGCATTCTATCATCTTATAGATTCTGCTCTGTAGAATCCCCTCAAAATCCACCTTTGTAACATGACCATGGTTCTTATATCCAGATCATCATTCATAATTTCACCTTCAACCATGAGGACCCTCCTCCGGGTAAGTGGTGTAGTAAATGTTTGCTTCGACCCTTGCTGCACAGACATCCACAATCTTTTCTGATAAATAAATTAAAGAGCCAGAGAAGATAACTTATAGCATCCATCGACACATCAAAAGCTTGATTGTTAAATCATGACATCCAACTAACATCTATCTATTACTCACAGTATATCATGTAAATGCTTCATGTTGGACATGTCAAGGATAAATGACGGAGAAACTATCCCGTTTTATGGTTGAAAGCCTGTAAGTAACAGTCCTACTGCAGAATTCACACAAGATGAAAATGTTCCTGGATATATGTGCAACAATTTACAATAAATACAAAATGAGAATATCTTTTAGAAATTTCACACCTTGATGCAAAGGTACGCTAAACATCCTACTTAATGTGCAAGAGTAGGCTATCTGTCCTACTATATATGTCCAAAAGAATAAGTGAATATCTAGAGCAAAATTTAAGCACTGATAAAATATCAAAACAGGAGCATAGGTAATATCACCATAGTTACTTATGCTAGTAAAGATTATCTTACCTTCAACAATTAAATATACTAAGCATCAAAAAGAAAAAGGAAATAAAGAGCACTCACGCAGACTAAATGCACAGGTCCAAGTATTGCAAACAGATCCAACATTTAGCATTCCATAAAGAGGTAATGCAAACAGAATATAAGCAACTAAGATAATCGAAAGTCAACTCGTATATTTGTAAATCACAAATGAACTATTACCTTTTCTTATTCCAAATTGATCCAGAAATTGGCGCAACTGCCTAACTAATATGCCAACAATTCTGGCACATCAAGTGCTGGCGCTCCTCCCTGCATAGATGAAGAACATGTGAGGATGGATAAGGAGAAGAAAATATCTCTAGTCTAATTGCTTCTTTTATTTTTGGAATATAAAAAAAAACTAAGGGAAAGGAGAGAAATTCTAAAGGGAAATGAAGAGAAATATGAGAAAGAGTGAAAAGAAAATGATTTTCTTCTCTTGCTTATCCAGAGAAATGTTATCTCCTCCCTGTGGTCTCTTCCAAAACTTCCCACCACCACATAGGTTACGACCAAACTAGGCAAGAGACATGTTTTGATTTTCTCTACTTGTCTCTTCCAATCCCTTGCTTTCTCGACTTTTGAAGCAGAGTACTAACCGCACAGTCCAAACCAAATACATAGAAAACAATGTAGAATATTATAAAAGATAAGACACCAACCTTTTGTCTCTACTGGTTCCTTGCGAATTGATTTATGGAGAAAGACAATAGATTAATCATATGGATCAACATACCTATAAAAAAATCACATGGATCAACACCAAGAAATACAAATGTGAGAAAAGACAACACATAATGGTGAAGGAATCGCAATAGAAGGAAAGAACTAAAAGATTTAAAATAGAAAAAGCCACTTTCCGTGCCTGATGAGTCAAACAAACCCAAGCCTAACCTCCCGTCATGACCAAAAACTACTCATGTGTACCATTTAACACAAGTTGAATATAAAAAGAAACCATCAAACATATGACTTAATCCCACAAGCAAAATAGAAATTCTAGAAATCATCAGCGTCAAGAAAATATCTAGCAATATGTACACCACCTAAAGAGACAGAGTAGTACTAATCCTGAAAAGGAAATAGAATTGCACATACTGAATCATAGTACACAGTGTTCCTCATATAATAAGGGAGGGGTTGAGGCTGGGTAAGGTTTCAGTGTAAAACCATCTTGCTTAACAATGTGAATTCTAGCAGAGTCTTAAAAACACAGAATCTTGCTTAAGAGTACTTCTCTTAAAACTTCAAAGAAAAGAAGAATGGAACTTGACTCCATCTCTGATGAATAAGATGTTTTTCTAGTAGCAAGTTACTTAAATTATTGTTGTTTTAGAGAGGAGAAAACTAGCTTATTATTGAAAACCCTTTGTGACTGTCACAGAGTAGCAGCTCATGGCTGCTAGCCCAAACAGATGATTCATCAAAATCAAACACCTACCATATTTCTTCAAACTACTTTTTAGAGAGATACCTTAACCTTGAAGATGTTCATAAAAAGCTTAAGGTGCTTCACTTAGTTCCTATTCTTGGTTCCTTGATAATTAATAAAGAGAGTATTTCAAAAGTCAAGTGTATTTATAGTTTAAAGAATAATGTAGCACCTCGCCCATTTAAAAAACATTATGCTAAAGAACACGCTAAAGATGAAAATGGACGGAGGAGTGGAAGAACAAGTTAAAGAAAGCAAAGGATACTTGCCTGTTACCTGTCAGAGGTAGCTGCATATACCATATGGGGACTCCAAACTGATCTCATGGAAGGAAAATTCCCCTTAAAAGGAACAGCCCACAAGAATATAAATGCGAAACCATTATTCGGCGCACGTGAAGATCTAGTTGTGGACATGCTTGACTGAACAAACATATCGAATAGAATCACAAATAGCTGGAACTTCTTCATTTGTTGTCTGTTCTATCAAGTCCCTCTAGCAGAAATGTATATGTCTGGGAACTAAGCCGAGAACCATTTTTCTCCATAATATCCAACAACTCAGAACATCTATCTACAAGTCCCCTCTTAAGTAAGCCATCAATTAGAAGCTTCCAAGCTACTTCATCATTATTGTACCCACAATCAAGAAGTCGAAAGAAGGCTGCCTTAGCTTTATCATTGTTTCCATTATCATACAACCCACATATAAGGAGCTTGTACGACTCTAAGCGTGGTAAGAAACCTTGTGTAAGCATTGTGTCAAGAAATCTTGTTGCATCCTCATACATTTTCAACTTGCAACAACAATTTACCATTGAGGTGTACATATCTTCAGAAGCAGACATTCCGCAACTCTGCATATGATCAAGTAACCTCGAAGCCTCCTCAAGACGTCCTTCTCTACAGAGACCAATAGCAAGCGAACTAAAACCGTTTGTATTAGGAGGACATCCATGTTCCTCCATTTTATTTAAGAGTTTAAGCAAAGTTTCATATTTTACTACTTTCCACACATCAGCAATATTAATGGAACTGGCCTCTATTTTGAGATCAAGTCCTCCTTGGGACAAATGTTTAATCAAAACAGAATAGGTGTAATGAGAAGGTTCATATCCAGAGTCAAACATACATTTTAGCATATCAAAGGCTCGATTTAATAATCCTGCACGACCATAACCATCAATCATTACTGTATAGGTCATCAAATCTGGCCTAATTCCCGCCTCTGCCATCTTAGCCATCACATCTTCCGCTTCTTTCAATTTACCTTCATTGTGATATGCAACTAGAAATGAAGTGTAAATGCAGACATCCGGCTTATGTCCCCTAGACATCATTAAACTAAAAACTTTGTCAGCATGGTCAAAGGCACATTCTTTTAATAGTTGCTCAATCAAAATACTGTAGGATTCGATTGTGGGTTCTACACCACTTTCTGCCATGCTTTCAAGTAATTGTGCCGCTTCTAGTTGCTTACCCTGTTTACACAACCCGTTAATCAGCACATTATAAGTACATGCGTTTGGGGAGCAACCTTCCTTGATCATCTTCTTAAATAATGTGAAGGCAAAATCAAATTTTTCAGCGTTGCAATGTCCATCAATTAGAGCAGTGTACATTGCAACATTAACCTTTATACCCTTCTCTTTCAGAGAACTAAAAATGGTGTTAGCTTCTTCAACTCTACCTCTTTCACATAAGCCATCAACTAGAGTACCATAACTCCACTCATCAGGAGCTAATCCATTCTCCTCCATCAATCTAAGCAACCTAAATGCACTATCTATTTCACCATCTTTACACTGTCCATGAACTAACAAGTTAAAAGTGACATTACTAGGAGATAGTTTGCGCTCAAGCATCTTATCAAGTAGTGACATTGCCTTATGCACCTTTTTCGCCCTACAAAAGCCAGAAATCAATTCATTGTATGTACGTACATTTGGGAGACAACTTTTCGATTCCATTGTGTCTAAAATACTTAATGCAACATGAACCAAACCTTTCTTACAGTATCCATCAATCAGAGCATTGTATGTCACCGCACTCGGAACTAGCCCCTTTTCCGACATAACATTTAGTAACTCTCTTGCTTCGTCAAGCTTAGAGTCTTTACACAAACCATCGATGAGAACAGTGTAAGTATGAACATTGGGCTCACAACCTTTCTCCCTCATCTCATCAAACAAACTCAATGCCTCTACCCTCCTATCCAACCGACACAACGCATCAATGAGAATTGTATATGTCCGGACATTTGGAGAACAACCATCATCTGCCATTTCCAAAAACAGCTTCATCGCTTCATTAATCCTCCTCGTTTCACACAATCCATGAATCAAATTATTGTATGAAACCACATTTCTTTGACAACCCTTTATCTGCATTTCCCTAAAAACCTTAAAAGCACTATTTACATCCTTTCTCCTACAATGACCCAATATA